CGGGAGGGGTAGGCGTGCGGAGATACGCCGTGGGCGAGCAGTCGGCAGCCCGTGCGTATATGGCCGCCTTTCGCCCGATTGGCTCGCGGACACCCTCAGCCCAGATCTTGATGCGTTCAGCTTTGGCTCGGTTTGCACGTCGCGCCAGCTCCGAGTCTAGGTTTTGGATCAGACGATCTAGGTGCTCTCCGCGTGGTGCTGGCACGTCGGGGGTCCAGGCGTCAGGAAAGGCCAGGGGGGCCGTGGGGCGCAGCTTGTGGCAGAGAAGGCGGGCCGCGGTCCACGTGCAGTCGATGCGTTGCGCCAGGTGCGGCGGGATAGCACGGCAGTCCATATGATGGTGCTGTTCGATGAAGCGAAGCTCGCAAAGTTGCCGATGAAGCTTGCGAAGGCGGTTCATGTGAATCGTGGAAGCTCCGTAGGTGGGAAAGGCGCGGGGGACGGCGGGTCGCTCCTCGAACGTGGGTGTGAGCCCGTGCATGGTAGGGGCCTTCTTTTTTGGGTGGTCTTGCGGTGGGGGCGGCAGGTCCCGCAGCCGGGTGAGATGGTACTCATGGCTGGCCTCGTTTGCCAGGGCGAACATGCGTTCCACATCGTCGCGTGTGTCAGCCTGCTCCATGCGGTCGTGGTATCGTCCTGCGATGAGGGTCCCTAATGCTTGAAGTTCATGGTCGTCATGAGCTCCGTCGTTTGAAGGGTAAGGCGTGGGGGCCAGAAGGCGTGGGGCCGTGTGATCGAGGCGGCTAAGGTCGAGTGTGACCTGCAGGCCAACATGGGACTTCGCTGGCAAGTCACGCAGATAGCAGAAGTCGGTGACAAGGGATCGCGCAGCTTGGTTGGCGATGATATAATCGATGCGCGAAATGCGGGGGCACTTGGTGACGCGGTCCCAGTCAGGGATATTGCCATATGTGTGCATGGTGTGGTCTGGTGTGCCTTCAGCGACGTTAAACCATCCGTGCTGCATCATGTGCAGCAGATGTGGATTGTCGTCGATGTTCGTGTCGGCGTCCATGCAAATGAAATACGGGGCTGAGCCGACCCTCGCGGCGGCGCAATCAGCAAGCCGAAACAAATCGGTGCTGTCCCCTCCAGCGACCCCGTAGAGGCTCGCAATGTAGATCCCAGCGGGACCGTGGTTGTTTCGTCGTCGCCTGCGGCGGTGCTGGGTGCAGAGCGGGAGGAAGACCTCGTGCCATCGTTTCTTGGCCTTGAGGGTGGCGATACAGGTCGCAATGTCGTCGACGGTGGAGTCGACGATGGCGTCCTTAGAGAGGATTGCAACCCCGCCCGAGGCGCCGGTGTTGCCCTCGACCGTGTGGTCCGTGCCACCGTGAGCAGCTTTGCGCTGGGCTCGCGCCAGATCCAGGTCAGGTCCCTGACTGGCCTGATATCCTCCGTGGTGTGGATTGGCGGCGTTGGTAGCGATGGCTTGCCTGGTAGGCTTGGCATGTCGGGTCTCCTGCAGTGCTATGACTGCGGCGTTGTGGTCGACACCTAGAGCGGGGATGGTTGGCCAGTTCGCTGGGAGACTCGTGATGTTGAGGCTGACGAGGTGGATGGAGCGACCTGGCCCGTCTCCGTCGGTGGAGCTGGGGTTAGCACGCCCCGCACGGTGGAGGGCAGCCTGGCCGTCACCCAGGTAGAAGGCTTGGCCACAGTAGGAGCTCATGGCGTCGCGGCAGATTGGCTTGGACGGGGCTGAAGCCGCCGTCGGGCCAAAAGTATAGGCAAGGCATGGTCGACGCTGCGCCGGGGGGGTTCATAAACGCCGGCAAAACTGCCTCTAAAAATCCTCCTCACTCCAGTACCGTGGGGGACGGAGGGAGGAGAGGTGAGACGGCAGCAGGGGGAGAGGGAGGCGACTCCTCGATCCGTCCTGCCGAGCACAAGAGCAAAAGCAAACCAGCGGCGGCAGCTCGGCGCGGCAGCGGCGCGGCGCGCGCGCAAATACTGCGCACGCGACACCGCTGGTCCGTCCTGCGGCGGCGCGCCCGCCCCGTCAGTGCCGTGATGAGCAGCATCAGCTGGAACAGCTTGTTCGTGTGCGCCCTCCGCGCTCGCCTCGGGCGGTGGGCCCTGTGGCTGCGGCGGCACACGCCCTGCCAGCGCGTCAGCCACTAGCTGGGCGTGGCGAGCGGCGCGGTCGGTGGCCTGGCGCTGAGCCTCGTCCATGCCCGCTGCCGTGAGGCACGCGTTGCGGACAGGGCTGACTCCACGCGGGGCCGCCGCTGCCGCGGCAGCGGCTGAGATGGCGGGGCCGCCACCGTGGCTCGGAGGGGGCAGCGGTGAGCCGCCGCCGAAGCCCGCCGCGAGGCCCTTGACGGAGTACTTGTGCTTGTAGGGGTCGAAGGTCGGCGCCTCGTCGAAGGCGACGACAACGCGGGTGGGCGGTGGCAGCTCCTGGTCCGTGGACGGCGTCGGCTCGTGGTCAACCTGGCCAGGTTCGATGGCGCTGGCACCGAAACGTGGCACCACCTCTGAGGCTTGGCCGTGAGCTTGAGTCTCGCGAGGCGGCGAGCTCGTGGAGCTCCCAGGGGGCTTGCGCGAGCTGTGGCGGCTGCAGGACCGGCTGCGCGGGACGCGCCCGCCCGTGTGGCGGTCACGTGGCGAGGCCACCTGGGCGTTAGCGCGCGCAGAGTCCGCCCTGCTCGGGGAGCGGATCGGCGCTGCGCAGGGTGTTGGGCTGGGCGGGCGGGAGCCGCCTGTGCCGCCCGCCGCCGAGGCTGCAGCCTGGTCAGGGTCGACGGCGTCGGGCCGGGGGCTGACGTGGTGGGCACTGCCCTCGCTGTGCCGCGGGGAGGCGCTGTGGTGCACCTGGATGCGCGTGAGGACGAGCGGGGCGAGCGGCTGCCGCTCGCGCTCAGGGGGGGCAGGTTTTGCTTGGGCAGGGCGCAGCGCTGCGGCCACGTTTGGCGGGGGCGTGTGTTGGCGCGGTTGCCAGGCACGCACGTTCGCCTCGCGCCATCCTTCGGGGCGCCCTGTCCTGCCACGGCTTGGTGCAGCCCCCTGGGCTGGAGCCGCAGGGGGTGCCACTGCGGGCTGGTTGCTGGCGGTGCTGTCGTGGCGGCCTGGGTAATGGCCCCAGGCGCGCGTGGACCCTGGCACGGGCGAGGTGGCCCGTGGGGGAGCCTGCCCGAGTGCACGCGGGTAGCCGACGACCGCTGGGTGCACCCTGGCGTGGGGGGCGTGGCCGTAGCTGGAGGCGGATGCTCCTGCCGCCGCGGGCCTGGCACCAATGGGGCCACGGTGATAGGCGGCGCCCCCGCCGTACCCCGCGCTGTCGCCTGTCGGGACGCGCGCGGGAGAGCGGTTGCGTGGCGTGCTCGGCTGACCTGCGTCGCGTTGGTCGCGCTGCTGGGTGCGCTGCTGGTGCTGTTGGTAGCGCTGCTGGTCGGCTCTCGAGAGCGGGCGGGTGTCGGGGAGGATGGGCGGCACGTCGGGCCGCCGCCAGCCCTGATAGACGTGCTCGAAGGCATGGTCTGGGTAAGTCTCCCCGACGGGTGAGTAGCGCCGTACATGCTCCACGTAGTCAATGTTCTGCGGCTCGGGGAGCACCGTGATGTTCACAGCCCGCTGGTGCGCTGGTCCATAGAGACAGAAGCTACCACGGTTGCTGCGGTCGTGGTTCAACTCGGCTTCGGTCGTGGCACGACTCACCATGGCGTCACAGAGGCGCATGTCGTAGTCGAGAGCTTG